GACTTCTAGGTGGGCTGTGACTAGACAGAACCTGTCAGAAAAAAAAAAAACCAAAAAGATTTCCAGAATGAAGTGTCCAACTACTGTGGAGTACTCAATTCTTTAGATCAAGGTCTTGGACCAAATATAAAGGGAGTCAAACCTAGCTTTTCCTAACAACACACAGGGATTCTACTTGGATCCAACACTGTGGTATCCACCTGCAAGCATAGCCTTCACTGATACATTGCCTCGCAATGACGTGGAACACACTAGAGCAAGGAGGAAGAATCAAGGAGATCTAAGTAGAAGTCTAAGCTCTGTCTCGAAACCACTGGAATCTCACCTCCCTGGAGCCCAAGGATTTAAGTCTTTGACACTCCTTTGAAGCACCTGTGTTCCCGTGTTGCCAGAGCCATAGTCCAAGGAATCTCATGTGATCCTTTCTCTTTTTTTGGTCTTTTTGAGACAGGGTCTCCCTGTAGCACCAGCTGGCCTGGAACTATGTAGACCATGCTGGCCTCGAACTGACAGAGATCCACCTGCCTCTGCCTCTGCCTCCTGAGTGCTGGGACTAATGGCATGCATCACCATACCTGGCTCATGTAATCCTTTCTATCCCATAAGGGGTTAGTTATCTAGGTTATTATCCACACCTACTGAATCATATTTCCAGAGGTGGGACCAGAAAAATTTATTTTTTAATTATTTTAATGCGTGTTATGCCTGCATGTAAGTGCATCCATGTCGTGCACCGTGTGGGTCCTGGGATTTGAACCTGGGTCTTCTGCAAGAACAGAACAGTCAGCGCTCTTAACCACTGAGCCATCCTCCAGCCCCAGAGCTATTTGAGACAGTCTCCCTGTTGCCCCTGCTGGCCTGGAAATCACTATGTAGACCAGGCCGGCCTTAACTCACTATGTAGACCAGGCTGGCCTTGAACTCACAGAGCTCCACCTGCCTCTGCCTCCCGAGTGCTGGGATCAAAGGTGTAAGCCATCACACCTGGCTCAGAGCAATTTATTTATTTAAACTTGACATGGCCCCTCCCTCCCCTCCAACACCTCCCATAAGGGGTACTCCAATTGCCTCACCCTGCATCCCTGTTCGGCATGGAAGAAGCCAGAGAGCAATTTATTTTTAAAGAGCTCCATATCTTTTGGATGTGGGGGTGCAGCAGGGTGCTGCTTTTCATCATAAGCCCTTCATATATATATGGCTTTGATCTTTAAAAAACAGAAAATAATGGAAAATGCAGTGGAATGAATTGGAAGACCTGGGTTCAATCTTTGTGTTATCTGAGTCATTTAACCTTTTGGGCTTACCAGTTTTGTCACCTTTAAGGCAGAGAGAATAGCAATTGCTACCTTTTAAAAAATATTTTACTTATTATTTTTATTTTATGTGTATGAATGTATTGTCTGCATGTATGTAAGCGTACCCATGCCGTGCAATGCCGTGGAGGTCAGAAGAGGGCTTCGGATTCCCCTGGAACTGGAGTTAAGGACGGTTCATAGCCGCCATGTGGGTGCTGAGAATCGAACCCGGATCCTCTGCAAAAGCAGTCAGTGAGCCATCTCTCCAGCCCCAGCAACTGCTACCTTTAAGAAGCTTGGGGTGCTGGGGGTGGGATAGATGGATCAACAGTTAAGAGCATATACTTCTCTTATATTGGACCTGAGCTTAATTCTCAGTACCCATATTGTGTGGCTCAAAATCAAGTGTAACTCCAGCTCCAGGGTTGCTGATGCCTCTGGCATTTGTGGGCATTGCCCTCACATGTGCACAGACCCCCACATACACATGTATTTAAAAGTGAGTCTAAAACAAAGCTGGGGTGACATAGACACGTCAACCAAATTGCTTCAAACATATTTAACATTATTTTCCAGTCACTGCTGCAAGGTAGGAATTTTATAATTATTATTATTTTTTTATAAAATGAGGGAACCCAGAGCTCATAAGTGAAGTAATTCAAGTTTCTACAGCTAGGATAGAACTGTGCCAGCATTTGCCAAATGATGGTATGTGTCTTTGGTTGAACATAGACAAACTTCTCTTGTTTAGTTGTGCCTTTTAATATGTATTAGAAAAATCAAGTAATTATCACATCAAACCCGTGACTTCATGATATTACTATTAGAGTAAAATGTGTATAGATAGACCTTCAGATCACCTCAAGAAAGATATTGACTCAACAGTACTGGAAGGCAGTTTAGAAATACTTTTTAGAGGGGCTGAAGAGATGGCTCAGTGGTCAAGAGCACTGGTTGTTCGTTCTTGCAGAAGACCTGGGTTCAGTTCTCAGCACCCACATGATGTTAACAAGCATCCATTAACACCAGTTCTAAGGAATGACACCTTCTTCGGACCTCCATTGGCACTGCATGACATGGGTGCCCTTACATGCATGCAGACAAAATAAAATACATATAATTTGAAAAGAATTATCTATTAGAAACAAATATAGAAAGTCCTAGGCTTCTGTAATTCCTCTTCTAGGAATCAACACAAAGCAAACTTTGACACGCAGAGACAAATTTCACACAGAATAGGGATGCTCCCATGCAGTATTTGTTTTTCTATGTATGGATGTATTGCGTGCATATATGCAAGTGCACCCGTGTTGTGCAATGCCCACGGAGAGCAGAACAGGGCACTGGATCCCTTGGAACTGGAGTTACAGGTGGCTGGCTGTTAGCCGCCATGTGGGTGCTGGGACTTGAACCCAGGTCTTCTGTAAGAACTGTCAGTGCTCTTAACCTCTGAGCCATCTTCAGCACCTCCCTGGCCATGCAGTATTTTATAATGGCAAAAACTGGTCAATGTTCATCATCAGAGAAATGGGAAAGTCAGATGTGGTCGTGATATGAAGGCAATCTACACAGTATTTGAAGGATGCACTGATCTATACATACCAACATGCACAACTCTCAAAAACATTAAGCAATGAAAGCAAGTTGGTACAACTCAGTACCATTTGCATTAGACAACACTTTTAGTGACTTAATATAAGTGTAAAATATTAAAGTCTAGATTGGCAGTACAACAAACAGAACTTAAATAGGGAAGGAAGAGGAGGGGAATGTGGTTGGTAATAGAACAAGGCTATCTTTTTTAATATTTTATTTTTATGTGTGTGTGTTGCCTGGACATAGGTAAGTGCACCCGTGTTGTCCAATACCCGCAAAGGTCAGAAGAGGTTGTTGGATCCCCAGGAACTGGAGTTACGGACAGTTGTTAGCTGCCATGTGGGTGCTGGGATTCGAACCCGGGTCTTCTGCAAAAACAGTCAGTGTTCTTAACCACTGAGCCATCTCTCCAGCCCCTAACAAGGCTATCTTTATCTGTAATGATATATTTTTCTTTAAATACATTTTACTTTTGTGAGTGTATATTTGTATGTATATGGGGGCATATGTGCACTTGTGGGAAGGTGGTTCTCTCCTTGAACCACATAGGTCCTAGGGATCAAAGTCAGATTTTTAGACTTGATAGCAGGTACCTTTACCCACTGAGTCATCTTGTTGGCTCATGAAGTAATTTCTTAAAAAGAGAATGCATCCATGCATTACTTGTGTAATTAGAACTTTTTCTAGGTGGTGCCAGGAATCAAGCCCAGCACCTCACACACTACAAGCACCATCCAGCCTGATTTAACCTTTTTATTCCCCTTGAGACAGGTCTTGGTGCTTATCACAGTAGCCTTTCAATCCTTCTGACTCGGCTTCCCAAGTGTTGGAGTTAAAGGTATGTGCCAGAATGCCCAGTGTGATTTAACTTTGTTTTTGAGAGAGTCTCACTGTATAGCTTTGACTGGACTGGAATTTATCTGTAGACCAGTCTGGCTTTGAATTCCCAGATATCTTCCTGCCTCTGCCTCCCGAGATTTCGGATAAAACAAGTGTGATGTGCTATGTGAATGAGCAAAGGCTGAACCCACTGCAGGGTTACTGTCTCAGCACAGGCATTGTAGCTAACAAGGTTAGTTCCCAAAAGGAATTTTCATATTGGGCTGACATGTGGCCTAGGCTACTACTCTTCCTAGTTCCTGACAACCTAGATTGGGGCCCAGGAATCCAGCTATTACACAGACTGAAGATACTGCCTTCCTCAGGCTCTCCACTTATCAGATAAATCATATTAATGCCCTGGAACCTGGTAACCAAAGCACTCAGCATCTCCAAGGTATGGAGGTTCCTTCTGTCCCTCACAGTAAGGGGCAGAATCCCTTGCAGGTCCAGGAATAATAGGGCCTGTATTTAGAGGGGCTGGTGTATAGTGATGCTCCACCCAAGGAAAAGGTCTCCAGTGAAAGTATGACATCCTTAAATTCTATGAGGCACGTATTTTTTTTTTTTTTTTTGGTCTTTTTGAGACAGGGTCTCCCTGTAGCCCCAGCTGTCCTGGAACTCACTATGTAGACCAGGCTGCCCTTGAACTCATAGAGATTCACCTGCCTCTGCCTCCCGAGTGCTGGGATTAAAGGCATGTGCCACCATGCCTGGCCCTAGGCATGTAATTTTTAGCTCCACTTTACAGATGAGAAAACTGAGGCACAGAAAAATAAATGATTTGCTCAACAATGAGTTTGGGATTAAAAAGTAGTACCAAACCAGTAACTGTCTCTCCCCAGAGCCAACCTTCTACTCCCAGTGCCTAAATTTTACCCATTTTTCAAGGCTTGGTTCAAATGTGACCTTTTCCACAAAGCATGGAAGTTATAATCTTCTTCTCAAATTACTTATGACATTTGGCTAACTACAGTTATTTATGAACCTACTGCACTTCTTTACCAGGAAGGTAAGAGATGGTGTCTGATTCAACTCAGTATTTTAAGCACAGAATAGGACAAACAGAGGGTGTTCATTATGTGTCTGAGGAATACACAAGTGAGTACATGAAAGAGAGAATGAAGGCAGCTTAGTGGTGGCCTACAAGTCCTCTAAGGTCCTGCGCACTTTCCCCCATACCTGGGGTGCTGTCATCTTATGCTCTCTTGGAATAAATTCAGCCTAGGCTCCTTCTAAAACAGGTCTCCAGTACCTTTTATTTTGCAAACATAACTACATGCACATAGGTGAACACACATACAACACACATAATCATATATATGGGGGCATGGGGCTCAAGGAATTCATTTTATGGGATGAGATTCAGGAGAGGGGATGGGTAAGTGACCCTATTCAGCTTAGGTCAATACCTCCTTCCAGAGGCCAGGAGGCATTTACGCTCTTGGCTTATCATCACCTTTCTATTCCTCTTCATGCTTGATAGCAGTGCCTAAATTTCATGAGTTCAACAAAACATAGCCAGGAGAGAGGGGAAGGCTGGGAGTCAAATATCTAGAAACTAAGAGAGGGGCAGTTCAGGGATACAGATAGGCCAGGAGAGCAGAACTACTGCTACTGTTCATTTGGGTTGGGGTTGGCATCTGGGTACTTGGTAAGGTCGAAGGTCAGGACTTTGCTGATCACACAGTCCCCTTGCTGACAGAGGAGAGAAAAATAGCAGAAGAAATTATAAGGAGAGAATTAAGAGAAGTCCAGAGCCTAAAGATTAGGGGCTGTAAACCCTTATCTCTACACGTCTACCCAAAGCCCAGGAATGGGCTTGCACTGGATATGAGAGGAAGTGCTCTGTCCCATGTGCCTTCTCACCCTGCCTGCACCTGCACTTTCCCCTTTCTCCCCTGTCTGGCCACCTCTGCCAGAACAGGCTGGCTATGCCTTCAGGGCACGGATCCAATAAGCCTAGATGGCTTCTCAGGACCCAATACCCTCTACTTCCTCACCCTTCCCCCAACCCCATTGCAGTTCTGTCTTGCTGCCCTGGGGAGTCATTCAGAAACCCACCCTACCTCAGGATACACTCCAATGAGGCTCTCAGCCTTGGTATAGAATTCCTCTTTGAGAGAGATGACAATGGCCTGGAAGTTGCAAGTTGACTGCTCCTTGATGTAATTTGCCACCTGTGGGAGGGGTCACAGGGCTCAAGACATAACATTCACATTTTTAACTCACAACTAGTATGTAATGGGGGGGGCACCAGAGAAGGCTACAGATTATTAAAGCATGGATGACCCTAGGCCCAGCCTCCTGGGCACATAGAATAGGGACCAGGAATGGCTAGGGCATCATCAGGAACTACTTTCTGAAACAACCCTGATGTGAGGGCCTCACTTTTCTTGCACCCACCTTGCCAATATTGGTATTATCCAAGGCAGCATCGATCTCATCCAAGACGAAGAAAGGGGCTGGCTTGTAGCTGGAGGGAAGCAGAAGGTGAGCTGATACTGAGGAGAGTGGCAAGACAGGGTAGGATGGCCCCAGAGCCCAACTTCTCTGCCAATTCATCAGAAACTAAAAAAAGCCAGGCCTTAAAATTAAAGTTTCCTGGGGGAGACAAATATCCTTGGTTCTGGCCTTAAGAAACAAGCTGTCCAGAGGTCTACTTATCCCAGCACAAACCATACTTTGACCCACCCTTCTTGCCTCCACACATGCACAGCCTAGAAGATCTGCTGGGTTCCCTGGCAAACTTCTTTCATGCTTTATCCTCCTACCTATCATTTACCCTTAAAACCCTTCCCTTGCCCTCCCATACCCTCCCCCAGACTGTGTTGGGTGCTCCTCCTCTGTGTATGCATACCACCCACACTCACCCAGTTATAATACTTATTAGCACATTGTCTGTTTATGTGTCTGGCTTCCATTAGTCTGTATGCTCCTCCAGGACAGAGGCCATGTCTGACTCATCTGTCCCCAATCTCTCAAGAGGGTCTGATACAGAGCAGCACTCAAGAAACGCTCACAAATGATGCTGTATAATCAAGCACTAAGTTGTAGGAGTCAAGCGCAAGTAATGCTAGGGTTTAGGAGGGGGAGGTAAGGGTATGTCAGAGGTCAAACAGGGCTTAAGAGGAGAATGAGGAGGTATTAAAAGGTGGAAGGTCAAGCTAGACATGCACAGAAAGAGTATCAGCAACCATTTGAGCAAAAGCTTGAAAGCAGAACTAAATACATGTAGGAGCTAGCAAGGATAGGCTGAGTGAATGAGAGTAAATAGGCAAGACAGGTCCAGAAAAACCAAGGCCAGATGTACTATAGCAGAGAGAGAAACAGGATGCAATCCAGATATCACAATACCTTCATCTTTGCAGATCTCTGTACATCCTTGGACCCCAGAGCCTTTGGTTACCTCAGTTCCTGTCTTTCTACCAACTGCCTTGTGGGGGCAGGACCTTACCTATGGATGGCAAAAAGCAGGGCCAGAGCAGCCACTGTCTTCTCACCCCCTGACAAATTGTCCATAGGCCGGAAACGTTTGCCAGGAGCTACACAATTGTAGTTGATGCCATCCAAGTAGGGTTCTTCAGGATTCTCAGGGCCCAGGAAAGCCTAGAAGGCGGCAAACAGAGTTGGGATCTGGATGTGAGTGTAGATGGGCATGATGATGGCAAGACTAGAGGAAAAGGCAACTGAGGGAGGATGGTAGAGGCTGGTTGATATGGGGCTCTAGCCTACCTGGGCACTGCTGTTACGGGACAGAGCCTTATAGATTTCATCAATGTTGGTAGCCACAGATTCAAAGCAAGCATTGAATCGGTCAAAGCGCTCCTTCTTAATCTGTTCAAATGCCTGCTTGGCCTTCTTTGCTCGCTTTCGTGCTGCCTCAAACTCTGCCAGAAGGAAGAACAGATGATGATCCCTCAGTGCCCTGGGCTCTACCAGGGTTGAAAACCATACAAGAATGACCTGCAAATGACAATTCAAGCAGTGACAACCCACAGATGGAAGAATGCCTGAAGAGGGTCCTACAAGGATCTGTATCCAATGAGTTGGCCACTTCATAGTCTAGGCCAGGAGCTGGACAAACACAATTCAGCATGCCCTTGTCATCCCTTCAGTCTTCTGCCTTCATCTAAAGCCCAGGGAGAAATGCAAAATTTACCATCTGAGGTTTCTTGGAACTTGTCTCGGACACTTTCCAGCTTTTCCATGGCCTTCATGTTGGGGGCAGCAATCCGCTGAAGCACGCTCTGCTGCTCATTCAGCTTTTGCTGCAGTGTGTTCATCTCTTGCTTGATTTCCTCCTCAGCCTGTGCATCCTGCAACCCCCATGCCCAGCAACAGTAAGAATACCTGGCTCCCAAGTCCAGGCCACCTCAGTGATGAGTAAAGCCTGGTATCTGCTCCCAGGCAGAAGAATGTATTCTCCAGTGTGGCTTCTTCCATGAAATCTAACTCATAGCAACTATTCCAACTATGACTACACATTATAGGTTAGTGTACCTTTCTCATCTTCAGCCCTTCTTCCAGGCCCTGCCAACCTAATTGTCTCCGGAAGAGCAGCTAGTGATGCCCCTTTCTGGCTCTTAGCCAGCGCCATCCCAGGGTGACCTTAAAGTCCTGCACAGACTGCTCTGTCTGATAACAAAGGCAACTCATGTTTTCTGCTTAGATCATTATATCTAAGCAAATTCCACTCAATTTTTGTTTTGGACTCTTATAGCTATTGTATTGCGTGTCTGAGCTTATCCCTCTCTGCTACTTTCAGTCAATAACTATATACTAAATATCTACCAAGTGCTAGGCACCGGGCTGTCATTCCCTATGACCTATGGTTCCTGTGTTCAAGAGTTCTGACAGGGGAGTGAGACACAGCTAAGTAAACAATCAGAATACTGTAGGAGGAGTGTAAAGACAGTGACAAGCAGTGTTGAATTAGCAAACAAGAAGAGAACCTAATTCGCACTCTGGAGCTAGGAAAAGCTTCTGAGCATGCGTGTAAGCTAAGGCCTGCAGGAGGAATATGGGAAGATGAAAGAGCAGACACAGTTTTGTATGCAGCTGAGAGCATCACAGGCGAAAGTCTGTGTGTGTGTGTGTGTATTCACCTTATTGAATTAAAAGCAATTTAGGAGTAATACAACCTTAGAAGCCTAAATAAATACATTTTAAAAAGAATTAAAATGGCACCACTACCAATTATGTGCATACATGCATGA